CTTTTAACTAAATGGAATAGTAATTGACAAAATTACTTTTATGTTGTAAATGGAGACGGTTCATAAAATGGTCGGTGTCTTTATATATTTAGAAAAATGTAGTCTCTTTTTTTTAGATCCTATTCATTCTTTTGAAAGTACTTTTAAAATCAATAAACTATTTCCGGTTTTACTTTGGGGGCTTTGCTTTTTAAAACTGGTAACTACGTCAATTCTGATTTATTATAGTGTAGTAGAATAAAATTGACGTATTGACTATTATACGTATGAATATTTATCAGACATATTCCTTATAGTCTTCGCACTTATGAACTGTATGATAATTATACTGTTTATAAAGGCGAGAACCATAAGGAGTAAGTCTTTTGGCTACTGCTGGCTACCATCCTACGTCACCGTTTGTTGACGTGTGGTTTAAGCAGGGAGGCTACTGTCTTGGTCGGCAACTTACAAACCCATATCCAAAAGAAAATTGGAGAAGTGGAGGCACTCACGAGGTCTCCAATAAACGTTTAGGTTCCAACAATGGCGGCAGACTGGGAAGAAATTCGACGTCTGGCGGCAGACTTTCAGAGAGCGCAGTTTGCTGACACAGTGCAAAGGTATAGGCACCCTATCAGCTAGGCTAATGTTAGCCGGTGTGAAACTGCTTAATAGATGGGTTTCTAAACACAGACAAATGTTGGTGGCTATGACATACTAACAACAACAATGCTATACTTTGTTTTAAACTACACACAGGCTGTCGGAGAGGAACTGCATTGAAATCATTGCGAAACTGGTTCAGGAAAAGAAGCTCGAAGTTCTGCACACTCTAGACGGGAAGGAGTACATCACCCCAGCACAGATCAGCAGGGAGATCCGAGATGAGCTCTACGTGCACGGAGGTGAAGCGTTGACGCTAAACGAAAAAGAAAAAAAAATTGCTTTATTATGTCAGGTGTATTTTCTAAGTGAGTGGCTTCAACCCAGAAACTGACAGGTAACCTGAAACTGACAGGTAACAGCTGTCGCATACGCTGACCTAACGTTTATACATCAATTTTAACTTGATATGGTGCTTTGCAAATGGCCAATAATATGATGAAAATGGAGATCACTTGCTGTGAGCGACTGCCGTATCAGCAAGAAAGTCTGTAGTAAAATATATACTAAGCGCTCATAAGTTCCCATGTGCTCATGTGGATTTAAAAAAATGAGGGACCAAAATCAATGTATTTTTATAAACTGACGAACTTCAAATTAAAAACTTCAGGTATGACAGCTAATTTCATTCAGCTGTGTACTAGGAAAAGTATAATTTATGCACATGTCACTAACATTGTTTATACCTTTGTAAGCGTAATAACTTTGTTGTTTTTGTTTTTACAGGTCGGATCAACATTGTTGACCTGCAGCAGGTGTGTATATATTAGTTGTAAAAATCATTTTATTGTAAACATTGAAATACAATATTCAAAAATACTAATGTTCAAATAGTATTAATAATAAACATCTACCGTATATACTCGCACATAAGCCGAATTTAAAGCACCAAAAAATACCTGCGACACCAAGTCGAACGTATGGTCAAAAATGTCATTTCACTTATAAATGTATTCAATCCACAATCTACAACTGATATTTAATATTTATTTTAACTGTACCACTGATTTAGTAAGAATTTTTTTTTT